TGAACACATAAAAGGAACACACAGTAAAAATAGCACCATCTTACTGTAGTCCTTCAGCAAAGAACCACATTTTGAGGTTCCCCTTCTTTGCATCCTTCTTTGTATTGCAGCAGCATCTTGCACCAAGCAGAAGCTTTCGCTCTGGTGGGGCAGTCTCTGTTTTCATGTGATGGATCTTGTCAGCCACTCTGTTGGAGTATTGGCTTCTAGGCATTGACAAGGGCTCTAAATGTCTGTGTACCTTCTCCAGGTAAGGTTTCTCTGCCTAGCACCCTTCCTCTGTCCTCTTCAGCTCCTGAGTTGTGCCAACTATTCCAGCCTTCTCAGTTTTTGTATACTCATAATAAAGGCAGTGGAGCCAAGATGACATTCAAGGGGAAGGTAGAAAAGCAATGACAAAAGCATATACTATTTTCGTGATTGGTATGATGCTCACAAAAGGAAATGAGCTTTGACATGCCATCAGCCTCCAAAGCATGCTCTTCTTGTCCATAACAACTAAACCCGTTGCAACCCTTGGCTAATAGACTGAAGCCAAACATCTGGTAAACCAATGATTCAAGAGGAGGGAAAGGAATAAGATAGCGCAGGAAGGTCTGGGTAGATTAAGGTGCAGATGAGAGGAAAATAAAACCTAGGACTGGGAATTTGGAGGTTTAAGATGTGGTAGAGGGAGATTGAGGGTCACAAAGAAAGTGAAACTGGGAATTAGAGGAGTTTTATGATGAGACTGGCTGGCAAGGAACTGGCAGCAGGGGAGGGACAGAAGGCACAGCAGAATTCAGTTTGCCAGTAGAAGAGGAGACAAGAAGGAAGAGACGGGGAAGTCAGGATAGGCAGTGAGATGAAGAATCAGATAGGAGCCTGAACTGGGACCTGGCATGGGGAACCAGTTGGAGGCCCTGTTGGAGGTTAAGAAAGGAGAGACAGCCTGGGGAAGGGACAGGTGATCAAAGTCTGGAAGTGGAGGTGTGGCACAGGCAGAGGGGAAGGGAATGGAGTACCAGGGGAGAGCTGAGGGAGGCAGCCCCCCCAGGGCAGAGCAGAGGGGTACGTGTGTGGAAAGGGGCACAACGGGCTGTGCTGGCTGGGACGTCCTGACTTCCAGAGCTGGAAGCAGGACAGAGCTTCCCCCAAGGCTGGCCTTCATGTTGGCTCAGCTGGCAAAGAACTTCCCTCTTGAGCTGTCTGCCACAGCCCACAGTACAGAAACGACTAGAATTGAGTGTCCTTGGATGAGGCGGCGGCAGCTGCCTGCCTGGGGGAGGAGAGCGGGCTTTCTTGTAGTTAGATGGCAAAAATTTTACAGTTGGGAGGAGGTAGTGAAAAGGCCACATGACCAAGAAAGAAAGGGTCAATTCATTAGTCTGGCAGCCACTAAATTAAGAAAAGGCAAGTCGGGCTATTATATCAGAGGTATCTGAATTCAGTCAAAGACGATTCTGAAGTTGCTAGACTGATCTTGTGGTCAGTTTAAGCAAGCTTAACTAATTAACTGCTTTATTTTAGTTCATTGTGTAAGAGCTAGCTCCTAATAAATCACACTGCTTTGTAGAAACATGCTTGAAACAACTGTGCAAATACTAAATAGCCTTAGGAATGGTCTTATAAATCCATTGAATAATTCAAATTCCAATACTCATCCTCCTCCACTGCTGGTCTAGATGGAGAATAACTGCTGTTGCTATCTGTTTCTCTTTGAATAAAAGGGACAGAGATCTGTGTCAGATATACAAAGATGCCAGGATGGCTGATGACCCATGGAGATGATGTGATGCTGCGTGATCCTGCACGGGCAGTTGTCCTTTTCAGGAACACAGGAAATGCTACAGGTGTTAAAGGAACATTATGAAGGTTGCAAAGCCAAGCATTTTAAAGTTAGGCAATGTCCAAATGAAATTGCCAATGAAACCTTAATTCAGAATCTGTACACACGAAGGTTATGAAATGCTCATTAATTATATTTCCCCTCCTGTTCATTTCAATGTGATTGGCAGTAATTCAAAATGCTTACACTGTTCTATGGGTTTTCTAGGGCAACAGAGACTGAGGAACCACTGACTTACTCTCTGTGGATCTATCTTAAGGAAAGGCACTTAGTCACAGTACCACAAAGTTCAAAATATGGGCCTGTCAGTGTAGTCTCCTAACCCTGAGAGACCCTTAGCTAATACTTCTAAGGACTGTGACTCTCATACTTACCTTCTACACTGGGCCAGGTCTGTGTCAATGAAGATTTGGGGACAAACCGTGCTGATGGAGGCTGGGAGTAGGTTGGAGCTGAGCTCTCCAGCATCCAGTAGGAGGGTATAAAATTAACTACTCCATTTGTGCAGATTAAAAACAAATCTTGTGTGTATGAATTCTGCCTTTGCAAAAATGTCTGTTAGTTCTGATTGTTGGCACAAGTATTACTGTAGTATCGGTCTAATCTCATAAGACATATTTAAGGAATTGCAGCAGAAGGGTGGAATTGTCAGTGTAAATTTCTTGGCTGATTCCTTGTCTAGTGACAATTGTCCTGCTCTGCTTTATATCAGCTTTTCAGTTTTATATTTCATCATGAAAAGAGCAAAACAGGTTTTTTTTTTTGAGTATAAAGTAACATTTCTTTTAAATTTCAAATCATATTTTTGAAAGTGAAGCGAGTAGAAACAGAAGTGAAATCTCTAATAGAACTAGAGTATATGTAGCATGTATCCTCTGTACATGCTTCAAAGCAAGTGGGCAGTGGCACTTTGCACACAAAGTTTTCTCAAAATGTAAAGGTACAGTACACGGTCAACAAAATACTCAGATCTTCCCTATGCCTGGTGAATACATGCTATGGTATTTAATACAGAAGATGTAGTTATATGTAGACATCTCTGTGTGTGCAAGTAAGTTACACAAGAAAAAATTCTTTCAGATTCCAAGCTTTTCAGGGCATAGCGTGTGTTTCTACATCTTGTAGGGATCAGTGTACTGTCCACACAGAATGCTTTACTGAGTAATAACAACAAATAAACATCCAGTCATTGTAAGAAATATTATCACTGTGAAATTACACCTGGTTTCTGCCCTGTGACCCATAATGCTGTAAAGCCAATTCTGCTTTTAACGCTGCCCAGCATTTATTAGTAAAAAAGTATGTAGTGACATTGAACTGTCTGGTTTGCCAAAGAATCACACAAAGAAAACTGGCAGAACCCAGATAATCGGATGTGAATAGCCTTGTTTCACTGAAACTAGCCTTGATGGTTGCCAAAAGTTGTAAAAAACTGATAGAAATAGCAGATACTCAGATCTGACTATCTGATGTAGGAAACAGCTCCCAAATCTACTCATGATTTGGATTCTGCTGAGGTGGCTGCTGTTCCTTTCGAAGGTGAGCCAGTGGGATCAGTCCAGACCAGCAAGTACTAAGACCAATTAGTAGCCTCCTGCTAGCTTTAGCGTGTTTTAGAAATTAGACAGTTGAGTTACTACTGCAGTGCAGAATCCATCTAGGCTTGAAAGGAGAACTGATTGCAACCGGCTGAGAATTTAGCATTAAAAAGCTAACCCTTTCTCAGCAAAATACTGAAAGATCTGTTATAAGAAGTTGTCAAAGAACTTGCTTTTAAATCCCACCCGAAATCAAATGACGGCTGATCGCAGATGCTCTGTCACACTCCAGAGTATTTGTCTACACAGAGATATGGTTGTCACCTCCTGAATGGCTACCGCCATTTCTTGCAGCTCCCACGTACTCCTTGCAACGGCAGCTTGGTCGCGCTTAGCTTGTGGTATATCTTACATCAAGAATAGTCAGCACGTTGGTGCGAGGTTATAGTAGGTGCCAACTAGGGATGGTCCCGATTTTGTAGAAAAAGGAGACACGGGAATGTTGCAGTTCCCTGGCCCATCTCTTTCATAACGCCTCGGTAGCTAAAGGTGACCTGCCGCAGGAGCGGAGTAGCTGTGCTACACACATACAGCGCTGAGGAGAGCTTTTTCGTACCAACTCATCATATTAGAATTTCTGATCCTTTCTGGCCTGGGGGGGGTGTGTGTGTGGGGGGGGGGGTGTGAGAAAACTGTCCAGTTAAACTGTTGGACTGGTGGGAAAAGTGTGTGTGTGGGGGAGAAAACTCTCCAGTTAAACAGTTGGACTGGTGGGAAAATAGCTCCTATTTCTTATAATACTTTAACGAGCTGCAGCCAGGAACCGATGGAGCTATGGGCTGTCCTCCTCGCTTGGGGAAATCCTGACAGACGTTTGTGCCCGGTGCCCCGGCGGTGACACGACGGAAGGTTTCACCAGGACGTTCGGCCACGGGGGCTCGGGCCGATGAACCTGCCCCGGCCGCCCGACAGCCGCGGCGGTGGGCGCTGAGGCGGGGCGGCCCGGGACCCCGAGGGAAGCGGCAGAGAGCGCGGCGAGCCCCGCCCGGGCCCGCTCCCGCCCCGGGAGCCCGGGCGGCCCTCCCCATCCCCGCCGCCTCCCCGTCGCCAGGGGCAACCGCGCCACTTCCGCCCGCCGCCAAGATGGCGGCGGCGCCGTAACCTGGAAGCGGTCGGTGGCGCCGTGGCTCGGCGGGCCCGCCTCCGTGGTGCCGCGGGAGGTCTGTGGGCGGGGAGTCCCGTGACGGCTCGGTGCGCAGAGACGGTGGCCGGGCGGGGAGGGGGGGGGTGTCGAGCGCGCCTCGGGAGGATGGCGGAGCCGCACGGTACGGGGCGGCCGGGCGCGGGGGGGGGGGGGGGGGGGGGGGGGTGGCGGCGGGGCTCGCCGCTGGCGGGGGCGTCGGGACGCGCTGAGGCGGCGGCTGACAGCGGGCGGGGTGGGCCTGGCGGCGGCCGGGGGCGGCGGCGGGAGGCCGCGGGCACAAAGGCGGGGAAGGGCCTGGGCGGCAGGTAACCGCGAAGGGGGAGGGGAGGGGGGGTCGGCGGCGGCGGGGCTGCCCGGTGGGCTCCGCGCACCGGCACCCGGCGGGTGTGTGTGTGTGTGTGTGAGAGAGTGCGAGTGAATGTGTGTGTGTGTGCCCGCCCCGGGGGGGGCAGCCCCGCCCGGCAGCCACGGGGCCCGGGGCAGGTGGGCCAGGCCGGGCCGGGCCGAGCCGGGCTCGGCCGATCGCCCCGCTGGGCTCGGCGGCAGGGCTGCCCCGCTCCGCTGCGCTGCCGGGCGATGGCATCGACCAGCCACCGCCACCACAACAACAACAGAGGAGAAAAAAAAAAAAAAAAAAAAAGAAGAAGAAAAGGAGGAAGCTCCGTTTTACAGCCTCACCTCTTCTCCTCCTCCCCTCCAGCTCCCGGTACCGAGAGCTGGCAGAGAAAAATTTAAGAGACTTCGCGTGTGTGTGGTGGCACTGACACTCAGGGTAATGATTACCGGCGTTCAGGGTAATGATTACATCTGCTGCTGTGTGAGTGCTGTCCCCCACCCTCCCGTCTAGGCGTGAGGCTCTTTTCCTGTTTCACCCGATGTATTTATTGTGGCAGTTCTGATGCAGCCGGAGAGGCAGAATCTCATTTCAAAAGTCGTCGCCTTCCTGTCTAGCCAGGTGATTTTCCCGGTATTTGAAACGGAGATGTGTCACAGAGAAAGTAGTGTGGCAGTTTCCCGCATGTATTTGTGGCTGTGGAAGGTGTTTTCACTGAGTTGTACGTATCTTTCTCTAGGAGATGGTTAAAAAGCTGTAGTAACCTTAGGTAAGGTGAACGGCCTTGTGTGTTGACTAAAATTGCGCCCCGGTGTGAGCTTTACAGAAATTCAGCAGAACTGAAGTTTGGTGAAACTGTGTTGCTGCTTGACTTTACCGGCTTATTTAAGAGCAGGTACGGACATGGAATAAAAAGTCACAATGTGTGAGAAAACAATTACAAAGTGCTGAAACGGTACTAGTAATTTTTAACTGACATTTTTGTGATGGGGCTATGGAAGCATACGTTTTATTCAGTTCTGCACGTGTGCAGACACTTTCAAAGCAGAATATTCATGATCAAGGAGTTGTAATTGTGTGTATTGTCATTGCTGCAGTACCTGGGATTTTTTTTTTTTTTTTTTTTGACTATCAAAATAGAAATGAAGATAGTTTTAGTAATTACCTTCAGGGTCTTAATTTTCTATTGTTTCTTGTTTGAGTGTTTGACTTTCTACTTACTGTTTCTTTTTACCTTCTAAACTGGTGGTGTGTAGGTTTTTTTGTTTGTTTTTTTTGTTTTTTTTTTTTTTTTTTAACCACTAGTCATTTTGGATGCTTCTATTTATAAAATCAAGGGCTTAAAGTAGGTGGTGGTCAAATTAAGTCACACTTATTTACAGCCATATTTCAGGCATATGTTATATGGTGATCTTGATATAATCCTAGCCTGGTTTTGGGAAAGACTTTCTGTATTCTATGAATTTGTTATTACACTGTTGTGCATACGTTTTAATTTTAGTAACACCCTTATCCTCTTAATTCCTGTTGAATGATTTGGGTTTGACTATTTTGGTTTTCTATGTAATTATTCTTTGCTTTGGATGAGTAAAATGGGAGATTATTTTGCTAATTTGAAGCTGGATTCCTTTTAATTTAGGCTAATGTTTATCAGCCATCAGGATTTCTGTACGTGTGGCAAGGCAAAACATGTACATCAGGCAAAACTAATTTTATATATAATCTTGTAACACAGAGAGATGACTCCAGACAAAGCTCTCCTTGTGTCCACAGCCTTCCTTCGTGGAATACCGAGGAACCCTCAAAGAGGATGCTGTCTTCTGCCACATCTCTCTATTCTGCTCTTTCTAGAAATGTTAAACAATCCCCAACATTTTTTCTTAGGGGTGATCACAAGGGTAGGGTCGATGAGCAGTGGAGATGGCGAATAGCTGCTGTTCCCGGTCTAGTTTTTCCTTTCCAGCGTGACATATCCGTAAGGCAGGAGGTTCTGGGAGGGGCGTTTCTTTGTTATGTTGACACTTAAATCGCACTGACGGGTGTATTCTCCTCCAGGACTTTTGTTTGATTGAAGGGATTCCTTCAGACAACGAATATTTTCTCCAGCTGTCTTCCTGCACTCGTATCCTATGTGCAGAAATTAATTGCTTGGAAGGTTGCTGTGCATGTGCCTTTTAGGAAAACCCTTGGATTGATTGTTACTTGGCTGTAGCTTTCTAGAAAAGCGTGTTTCTGCTGAAGCGGTCGTGTGTGGCGGTCCCGGCTTGTCACTGCGTGAGCTGGCTGCTGCCGACTGGTGTATAGCACCTGTGAAATAGGTGGATGTATGTGCTTGCAGGTGTGCATGGTGCTCATGCACGCTAATTGAATTAAGGCTGTAAAAGTATCTTCTGCTTGTTAGGAGTGAGAAAGATCACGTTTTGTGATCCCTTCTTGGCAAGGCTGAGGAAGCCCTGCAAATAACTGAGCCCTCTTTCGGGAAGGTTTAATACGATGATAAGGAAATAAAACTGCATTAAGGCATCTTAGATGTTTCCAAAACACCATCGTGGAGAATCTGGGTGGGTGCTAAGAAGGAACCCTTTCTCTCTAGCAGCAGGTTTTCCTTCGTGTCTGAAGAAAGATGAAAACTTGTGTGTGTGAAGGGAGGTGAAGGCAGCGCTTGCCCCTTCCCCTCAACTGCCGCGGCCCCTGGGATGGCTTGCCCCTGATGCCAACCTCACCCTTGCCCTCCTCAGCGGGTGGGTTTTGGGTGGCTCTGTGCTTTGCCTGGGTGCAAGGTGGCTCCCAGCCCACAGCCAGTAACAGGTACCCGTGTCCAGCCTGCCATGCCCTCGTGCTCAGCTTGGCTAGCGGCATTTCCCCCACAAAATGCTTCGAGGCTCATTCCTTTTTACTTTATTTTTTTTGTGCAGCAGCTTTGTGGATGCTCTTTTAATTGAAGTGAGGCTTGCTTTCTTCTCTGTTGTTGTAACCTTGTATTTATTTTTACTGCATGCAACCACGTCTCGGAGAAGATATTTGTGTCTCTTTCTGGTGGGTTTGTGCGTATGTGTGAGAGGGCTGGGGAGGACACGGCAGCGAAGATTAAATAGCCAGTTGTAACTAGATTGTAGAGATAAAAAGAACCCTTGTTTACATTAAAATTGTAACGGCTGACATAGTCTAGTCTGATACAGTAGTTTTGTTATGTTACAAAATGTACCGGGATAAAATGTAACAGGTTGTATAATAATCAGGTAACGTTTGTGCTATTAGCCACTGACCTTAATTTACTTGTTTTTTGCTGCATTGCTTGGGCTTGACTGTGTTGTGAAATACACGTAACATGCTATTAAATCTTGGCATTCTCCAACACTAAATTTGTTTCAGTAAAGGCATTTTCACTATAGCAAAACAATGATCTCTGGATAAAAAGGGAATTTTAATTACTGGGATTTTTTCCATCATTAAGCTCTAGGTAACAGATATATTTTGTACGGAAATGCAGTGTTCATAATTTCTTTTAAAAAAGTAATTTTATACCATGTAGTTAATTTTAGACTGTTTTAAGATCATTGCAGTTTAAGTAGTACTTTATCTGTATTGCTCTACAAAAGAAATATATGAGAGAACAGAGCCTATCATATAATTGTATACATGCTGATTAGCGTGAGAATATGTTAAGAGGCTGTGAATTGGTGTAGATAAATACTAGGATGAACGATCAAAGAACTTCTTGAAACAATCTGGCATGCCTATATACTCGGTTCTTTTAGTATTGTTTTACCATTAAGGTGTACATGTAAAAAAAAAAAGCGGGGGGGCTTTAACATACTCGTTTGCCTTTTGCTTTCTCTACAAAAGCATAGTCTGTATTCTCAGAGTGGATGTACGTTAGATCCTGATTTGCACGCCTGCCTCCCTTTTTGTTACAAGAAGTGCTGGAGAGTATTTTTTGACACAGGAAAGTATGTCGCTGTTTTTTTTTTTTTTTTTTTTTTTTTTTTTTTTTAGCATAGTTGAAAGTTTGCTACTTGTCTGTTGGTGGTGTTGGGGTTTTGCAGAGAGGAGCAGCCCTGGGGAGGCAAGCTGTGCTCCAGCCCTGTTTGTTCATCTTGAGTAATATGTGACTGGTGCTTGCAGTAAATTGGTTGTAGCTTGCTCTTACCTTTGCCATGCTAATCCTCTGCGTGCTTTTGTGTCTTAAAATGCTTCATATTCTACGTATGATTAAGATGTATGTAGTAGTCCAGCAGACAGTATTTCCATGGAGCCCTGTTCCTTGTATCCCATAGATATTGTATCCGGTTCAGTGGACCTGCCTACCCTGTGGTCAGAGGCTTTTTGTTATGCATGCATCCTAATTGTTCTTTCTGTTGGCTTTGTACATAGGCTGAAGGGGCTGTGCACCATTGCAAATAGCCTTTCTAATACCTTATGCATTTGCATTATAATGGCTGCATAAATATTGCAGCACATCTCAGTTCACTCTCTCTTCTGCTTTGACTGCTAGGCTTTAAAATAGCTTCTTTCTGTAGCACAGATCTTGTTCGTGGTTGGTATTGCTTTGGGGAGGGGTTCTGAATCGCATCTTTATTAAATAGTGAAGCCTGTTTGCGATGAGGTGCAATTTTAACTTATCCATGTTCTAGTCTCCCACTCCTTTCAGCCCACAGGTTGATAAAGGCGCTTGGAGGAAAAAAAAAAAATAAAGCTTGAACAGTTTTTCACCAACTATTTCTAAACTCACTATATTTGGGATTGCAAAACGTGTTTGCTTTAGACTTGGTTTTGCATTTATTTCCAGAAATCCTATAGATGCCTGTGGGAATATTTTATGCATAAGGAATGTGAAATATTGTGCCACCATTGTTTTGGTGCTGAAACATTCGGTGACTTGTGACTAACTTTACCAGAAGCACCCCAAATTTCCTTTGAAAGTGTCAATACAGTGATGTGATGGAAAGCAGACACTCTTTTTGGGGAACTGGTGGCAGATTGCCATCATCATATACCTGTCAAAAGTTTGCTTTACAAAGTTGTTAAACAGAACACTGTTCAGTATCACTTACTTGACTCTTAGTGATAAGTAGATGCATACAGACTTTTAAAAATCATCATAGAATGCTATCTTTTAAAAGTTTGAATTAATTTCTTATAGCTACAGCCTTGTTATTAATGTATTGTGTCAAATTTTGGGAAGGGTAATATATTAAGCTATTTATATTTTTTGGCTAATCATTTGTAATCCTAGGGTTTGCTCTGTCTTACACAATTTAGTTTGTGAAAACTGCAGCAGGAAAGGTATGTTTAAATCAAATGTTCATTATTTTTTTTTTTTAAATATATCTGATGTTAGTAGCTTGTCGCTCTCATTTGTTTGCACATATTAAAGCAGTAGTAGTTGTTCAGGTTAAGGATATGATGAATGACCCTGTTGTTGGAACTAACGTTAT